AATGTCAGTTATACATATCATTCATATCGTTAAAAGACAAGTCAATTTTAATAGTCAAATAAATAAATTTTAAGTTAAAGTCAGAATAATTTTATAGATTATGATACTAAGTAATATTCTACTAATTATTAAATTTTATTTTTTTTCTAATTTATTAATGTAATTTTTGATAATATACTAGTTTTAAATTATTTTTAGTCTATTTCATTATTTATAAGAAGTTGAGTCAGTTCCGGGCAGTTCCTTTTTTTGTTTGTTCAGCCTTCTTTCAAGTTTTTTCCAAAATTTGGCATGCACCGATGTACTGACATACCATTACAACAGTTTGCACCCTGATCAATACATAAAATTGTGAACCTTGCATAATAATATCTTACAATTTTCGGGCTGTAGAGAAAAGTATTTTTATCATAAAATACAAAGCATGGTCACAATACCACAAACTAGTATTTTTATCATAAAAGAAATAAATCAATTGAACGTCAAGCCTGGAGCACCAGATTTGAACCAGGCCTTATAAACACAGACAAAACTAGCAGAAAGATTTTCAAATGACCTAGATAAGCAAGCTGAAGACTAAATTTCTGGAGCAATTACTAAAAAAAACATATATCTTCCAAGGATCAATATTGATAGCAGAAAAAAAGATGCCTTACTATTTTGTCATATAGTTCACCACCTGTGATAAGTTCCAGAATGATGTATATCTTTGTTGTGCTAGCCAAAACCTGATGTACCATAAAACAAGCAATACAAGAAAGATCTTTGAGACCAAAAAAAAAAAGAGAGAGAGAAAGCTTATGGCATGGGTCACGTCAACAAACAAAAGTAAATTTACATTAAGAACAGAAGACCTGGTAGGTTTGATTGGTCATATGATATTAACAAACCTAAAAGCAGAACACAAACCTCATGCAGTCTAACTATGTTTGGGTGCCTCACAATCTTCATTATGGATATTTCTCTCTTTATCTGTTAACCAGATGTATAAAACAACCAAATCACTACAGCAATAGTTTGAAGGATGAAGCATAAAAGAAACTTCTCAAATGAATTATGATCATGACAGTTATAAGCATTGAAATAATGCAGTACCACAAAAGAGGTATTGAAATAAACAGCCATCACAATCAACATTTAGATCATCTTCTTCAGCCAAAAAATAGTTCAGAAAACTAATTTAAGTGTAGTAATTGCAACCAAAACCACTTAAGAAGTGTTGATTGGTCTTAGTTATGCACTACTTGCAACCATTTTGAAATATACATTATCACAAGGAAAAACTTTTTACAGAACTAAGTTGTACAAGGTAACTATATACAATGAAACTTCCAATGCATATCATGCATCTCTCAACCAGTCATAAATCTCAACCAAGTCTCAGCATCTTCTTTTTAGACTCCTAGACAGAGTATTTAAAATCAGCTAAACAGCAAGACAGCCCACATTAATTGAACATACAGAACATTGTTACCTGTCCATCTGTGGCAACAAATGGACCATAGATCGTCAAATAATTACCCACCTATCCCTTTTTATTCTTTCAACATGTAGGTACAGGCTTAAGTTAGGTTGTGTGTTCACAGACAGCAAGAGATCATGTAATAACCCTAAGTTTAACCTCGAATTAGGTAAAGACTTGAATTGACTCTAGGAACTTGATGGATGTGCTATTATTGACTTGAGCTTGAACATCTTGACTCAGCGGTTCATGCTCAACAAAGTTGACGGATCAGTTATCTCATCGGATCAGATCATAACAAATGGTATCAGCATACCTAATATTGGGCATGGTGAGCGACACAAGTAAGATAGAGCTATCCATGAATGGAACTAGAATATTAAGGTATGAAGCCACCACTGAGTGAGGCTTCACATGCATGATGTCAAGGTTTGAATTTGAGTTATGTTTAAACCTTGACGAAGTCATCAAACACTTAAGTGAAAAGATTGTAATATCCAAATTTAATTCCAATTGAATATGGACAAAGTCTTGAATAGGCTCTAAGGCCTTGAGAGTGCACTACCATTAATATGGTTTAAGGACTTTTGCGCTAGTGATTCAAGCTCAACAAAGTTAATGAGTATATTTGAATATGGCTTGTTGCAAAAAATATGAGTTAAGCTTGAACTACTAACTTGTGCACATTTTTCGTAATAAGCCAAACCTAAATGTGATTCAGTTTGATTGGATATAATGTATATACATATTATACATTTAAAATTTCCTCGATCTTAGTCTAAATCCACTTGAGTTCACCATCCTCAGCATCAACCTGTCTAGTCTAGCCTCATTGCCACCACCCACTTCAACCACCCAAAGCTTCTAGATCTTCCTTAGACCTCACCTGGTACACCCCCTTCCATTCCTCACAATCACACTTATGTCTACCACTCTAACTGCCTGAACTGCTTCGTCAACCCCTAGATTGAACTAGTACTCAAGCCCAAGCTGTTGGAGTTCAAGAATGAGCATGGGCGGTTGAGCTCCTCTCCAACTATAGCCAAAAAGAAAAAATCATTTGAATTGTAGAGTTTGTTCATTCCCTACGTATAGGTAATGTTTTTTTCTTTTCCTCCCAAAAGGAAGAATTTGTGTACGTCACATCTCATCAAAGTTCATCACATTCCTTGAGAACAAAACAATCAGAATTAAAACTTGGTTATCATAAGGCAAAACTAATTATCTCTATCGATAGTCTAAATTTATGCAAATAACAAGACATATTCATATGCATCCCTTTGACCACAAACATAATGAGTCAGCCAGGGAGGAGGAACGAAAGGAAGAAAGTACAATAATGGGATAGAAGTTCAAATGCAGATAGTGTAGGACCTGATGGACCATCCTATGTTCAAGGATGGTACTCTTTGCTAGCACTTTCATGGCAACGATCTCGCCGGTCTCTGTATTGACAGCAGACTTTACCTTGGCAAAGGTCCCCTGTCCAATGGTTCTAACAACATCGTACTTTCCGACCTTTTTCATCCGCATTACCACGTCAATTCCTTGTTCATGGGCACCTATTGGGTTCTCTCGAACGTCTGATCTCCAAAAGACGAGATTCTTGGGTAAAGGAAAACCCTGATCGACAGCCTGCGAAGTCCGAAGAAATTTGGCTAAAATAACGAGGAAGCGGAGAAGGCGGAGTGACGGAGGATCTTACCGTCGACGGGTGGTATCAGCGATGGTGAACGGGCGGAGCGACTTATTGGGAGCAATCTTCGTTTCACGCACCGAGGATGAGGCGAAGGCAGAACACAGCAATGGACGAAATAAAAGAAACAATAACAAGAACGGCACGGATAACCTGATGCCACCAGACGCTCCAGCTGGGGACGCCGAAGGTAAGGGCCAAGGACGGGAGAATACGGCAACCAATCAAACGGAGCAAGAGGCGATGAACGATCCCATAAAACTTTCCTTGCTGCTACCCTGCTGCTACCCAACGCTCCGGCTGGAGACGCCGGCGGTAGGGCCCAAGGACGGGAGAATACGCCGACCGGTCAAACGGTGCTAGAGGCGATCAACGATCCCCGAAAACTTTCCTCGCACGTGATTTGGAGATGGTACTTGTGTGTTCCAGATAATCGCCCACCGGTGGATTTAAGTAAAAAAAATTGATGGCAATTTCTCTAAGATAAACTTTTTTTTTTTCACCAACTTCCATTAACACCCTTTTTATTTTCATACAATCATTAAATATATATATAATGTAATTGGGGTATTTTATCTAAAAAAAATTTAACAGTAATTAAATAACATCTCATAATTAATGTTTACTCATAGATATCTTATTTATTACTTTGATTAAAATACCTCTCCATCTTCAAATAATCATTGACGTTATTATCATCGTTATTATTTTTGTCTCTCGCGAGAAAAGTATCACTCATCACCTCTATTCTTACAACAAGCAATATTGTCCATTCTGTTTTTGTCACTATAACCCCTTTTACTAACGATAGGAAGTTCTTTCTCCTCAACACCACTATCCGTAAGATTGCTTACAGGGGTTTGCTCATGGAGATTCTATCATTTTGATGCTAACCATGCCTTTGGCATTGCTTGCCACACCCTTTGTTGTTCCACCCTTCCTATCCCTTTTGTGTCGCCCTCTACTATTCCCTTTTCATGTGTCACCACCTTTCTCACATTATTCTTCATCGCCCTTCATCCTCTATTTACAAAGGGAGGCAACAATCATCACTTAAATAATTATCATAATTCAACCACTCGTTATTCATTGTTGTTTGATAGTTTGATGTTACATTTCAAATTATGATATTTACGTTCATTTATAGAGGAATATAAAATATTAAAAAAAATTAAGATAAGATTATAAATAATAAAAATAGAATACTAATAGAACATTTAATAAAAAAAGTCAATAGAAGTATTAAAAAAATGAAAAGAGAAAAAAGTTGAGTAAAATTCTTGTAAAAAGCCCCCTCGTTTTGAAAAATTCTCATAAAACTCGTTCATTTTCAAAAAATTCTCATAGAGTACCTCTTGTTTCATAGAAGATGATTTTGTCATCTACATCTGCCTCATCGGTTGTCTTTACTTGCCTATTATTGCTTTTGTGCATTGGTCATTGGCCACTTTTGTTCTGACTGTCTTCGTCTTTAATTTTGACTAAATTCATGTATGGATCTCCTCACTCTCCATCATTGTCGACCTGCTAATTGCCTCCATCTTTGCTCCATTGTCCTCACCTCTATCACTTGTTGTCATAGTTTTGCTATCTCATCGTCATCATTATCATATCGACAAAGGTGTCTATGAATGAAACTAGGAGAGGAGGTTGCTAGGGGCTCAAATGGAGATAGCGGTCGATGAGGTGAAGGCAGGGGTCAAAAAGTGTATTTTAAGAAAAAATATATCATATTTTTATAATTTTTCGAAACGAGGACGCTAAAATATTTTAAAAGTAGGGGTTTTTACGAAAATTTGCCTAAAACAATTCTGGTCCTCGTGGAATAGTCACGCTGAAAATAATGAATATAATAAAAAAATGCTCTCCTGAAATAAGAAAGTGTTGCTTTCCTGTTTCGGTTGGGATCTGATCTAAGTTAGGGTTGCAGCCGAACCCTGTGGCTTGTGTAATCGGGCAGCGGAAGGAAGGGTGCGGCTTTGTCTCCACGAGGTGCCCATCGGGAGTGCTCGCCAGCGTTTTGCCTGGTTGAGCGGAGGCCGGACGCCGCGGCGGCTGCTGGGTGAACACGGGGGATCACTTGAGCGGCTATCGGCTTTCGGTAGCGCCCCACGATGTCGGTTTTGATCGTGACGAGCTTGGGGGACATTGTGGTGGATCTCCACACCGACCGATGTCCTCTCACCACTAAGAACTTCCTCAAGCTCTGCAAGTATGTACATACACACTGATAGCTTTCTCCATTTCTTAGACTTCGTCTTATTCTTGGTCTCATTTGGGAACGAAGGCGTTTGTTTGTGCCGGATGAAGAACGTAAAACCCTAAAATTGAGGTTTCTAGGGTTTGTTGGTTTCCTTTTGTGATTATTGGTCCTAATTTGTGCAGGATGAAGTATTATAATGGTTGTCTGTTTCACAAAGTGGAAAAGGACTTCTTGGCTCAGACTGGAGACAGGACCGGGACTGGCACAGGAGGAGATTCAGCGTACAAGTTAGTATTTCCACTTATTTCGTTTGCTGCATTTTGTAAGTGATGTTCACTCACTTTATCACATTGAATTGCTGGAACCAGGCACGTCATTTGACTGTTTGGACTATGGTTACCATCAGACTGTAAGATATTATAAATATCAAATCATTAGATTGTCTCAGAACTGTATGTTTGATAGAAAAGAGAATGGTCGTGCTTCTATTTTTGCCTTTGCATCTAGGGAGGCAGTTAATTTTGCAATGTCAAGTGGAGTGAAGATTCTTTTAGTAGCAACATTTCTGAAATCATACAGTTCTTGACATAAATATCAACTCAAATTTCATAGTAATGTCTCTAAGATGCATCAGAATAAATAGTTCGGGAGCAAAGCGCAACCATAACCCATTCTTGTCATCTTCAGTTACGATGTCTTTCTCTCCAAGATAAAGTCAGGATATATGACATGACTTTTTTTCATGATGCATTCTTCCTAGTGACAATGAACAGATCACATGAATTTTACCTGATTAATCCTTGTGACTGGAACTCCTTTAATTGGACGAATAAGCTGAAGTCTACAAGTTCTGGACCTTTTTTGTTCATTCTGATGCTTTGTATTGTCTTAATTTGCTTATATTCTGGAGACTTGAGCCATGTGACCCTGCCTAGGTATGATCAGTTTTATAATGTTTTTAGATCACTAGTCTTTCGACATGTTTGTTCCTTTATGTTTTTCATCTGTTTCTTCAAACCCCTTATCACTGTCATTTTATTGAATTATCAAAATTTAGGACATGCTGATGTCCATGCCACAGACCCCACACCCCACAGGCCAGCAAACTGGGGGGGGGGGGGGGTTGCAAATGTAGAAAATATGTATCATGGTTTTCCCTCCTTGTAGTTGTCATTCATCAGATTCATTCCATGTTTTACTTCATCAATTCAATTTTAATGGCAAATTTTTTGTCAGAATAATGTCGATGTTAAACCTTGAAATATAATTTGACATATTGGTCCCCTTTCCCATTTTTTAGTTGTATAATTGCCTTTCTTCTTTAAGCTTCATGTTGTGTCAATTCTAATTTGATGCATTTTCATATGTGTTTAATTTTACTAATCCAGAGTAAATTTCCTGGTTGTTTTTTATATCAATCTAAGTGATTTATATAAGCTTTTCGTAGCCTACATAGCATTAGATTGTCTCCAAGCCCACCTTTATAATTGATTGTGATTCTTACCCATATTGTCCTACTTTTAGATTTCTATACGGTGAACAGGCACGTTTCTTTGAGGATGAAATTCATCCAGATCTTAAGCATACCAGAACTGGTACCATAGCTATGGCTAGTGCAGGACAGAATCTTAATGCTTCTCAGGTACTTTTGTTCAATTTTTCGCTTTTAAGTATCTTTTCAATTCAGCTATTTCTCCCAAAGAAAACAGTTGGTTGAAGATGTTGGTATACCTTTGTTGTACTTGTTAAACTTGCTCATACTTCTCACATAATTTTTTTTTGTAAAAATTAATAGTAAAATATCTCACTTGCTCATATTTTTCACATAATTTTTTTTTGTAAAAATTAATAGTAAAATATCTCACTACGGGGCCATGCACTATAAGATTCAAAGCTCCTTGTTTCTAATTTGATAAAAGTTGTTTCTATTGCTGATATCAGTTTTACTTCACATTGCGTGATGACATTGACTATCTTGATGGAAAACATACTGTGAGTATTACATTATGATTCCTCTTTGTTATTTTCAGAAAATGTTTCCAAACCACTAGAGATGAATATGTTCTTATTTTTCTGATCACAGGTATTTGGTACTGTTGAAGAAAAAGAAGGTTTGGACACATTGGCTAAGATAAATGAAGCATATGCTGATAATAATGGTAGACCTTTCAAGGACATCAGGTTTGTTTTTGTTCCTTGTCATATGTTTGATAGTAAGAAGTCATCTGAACTATCAAAAAGTGCCTTTATACCGCCACTGCTTTGTTATATTTATTACGCTACTGTCGTCCTTATACTTCAGAGTTGTTCTGTTATGCTACTACACCTTTGAGTACCTGTTCCATACATTTGGTTATTAGGAAACAGAATAAGTCACAAAATTGAACATGTAAAGTGTTTCTTGAGTAGCTTCTTGGTAAATTTGCATGTATAGTCACTAAATATGCTCAGATCATATATCAACACTTATCTTACTGTTCTGGAACTCGATTTCACATCTTCCTAAGTGAGACAAAGAAAGGACTTGGAGTTAGAATGACCCAAGGATGCATATGAAGAAGATCTCAATTTTGGTGGTAAATTAGTTAGCATTTTTCTTAGTTGCCTTACAGATGCTTTAGTTTGAACTGTTTGGTGTCCACCTTGAATGTGTAAATTTGAGTCTTAATTTAAACTTGTGCAGTTGAGTGGTATTCATAATAAAATTTTATTGTTCAAGTTTCCTGTACTAAAATTTTAATTTATTTTTCAGTATCTTCGTGACTTGACACTGACATGCTAATTGCTAAAAGTTAGCATATTTTCTCTCATTCTTTTTGTAGTTCAGTATGTTTTTGAAGGTCTCAGGGTTCAAAATATTTTCCTTTCTTTCTTCAGTGTATATAATTTTGCGCTTTTATATCAACAGAATCAAACATACCTACATTTTGGATGATCCTTTTGATGATCCACCTCAGCTTGCTGATTTTATTCCTGAGAATTCACCAGAGGGTAAACCAGCTGATGAGGTAAGTTGAACTCAGTTGCCATGATATATGTGGTGGTAAAATTTGAAATCATTTTCACATCAAGCATATGCCTATATCTCTTTCTTTATCAGTTTCCATTGTTTGTTCTATGGTATGCTTGTAAAGCACTGTCGTACACATGGTCAACTTTAGTTGAATTCAATTTCCAGGATATATTTGGTGGTAAAATTTGAAATCATTTTCTCATCAAGTGTATGCCTATGTCTAGTTCTTTGTCAGTTCCCATTGTTTGTTCTATGGTATGCTTGTAAAGCACTGTCGTACACATGGTCAACTTTAGTTGAATTCAATTGCCAGGATATATTTGGCGGTAAAAATTGAAATCATTTTCTCATCAAGTGTATGCCTATGTCTAGTTCTTTATCAGTTCCCATTGTTTGTTATATGTATGCTTGTAAAGCACTGTCGTACACATGGTCAACTTAAGTTGAATTCAATTGCCATGATATATTTGGTGGTAAAATTTGAAATAATTTTCTCATCAAGCGTTTGCCTATATCTAGTTCTTTAGCTGTTCCTATTGTTTGTTGTATGGTATGCTTGGAAAGCACTGTCAATACCTCTTATGTAAATGAAAAGGAAAAAACACAGAAAGCAGAAAAGGATAATTTCCTCACTCACGGTCGATCTATCTTATGAGGGTCGGTGGTGTGGGTGTCTGTACGAAAAAATAAAACAAAAGGATAACAAAGCTTAAATTCTGGGCAGTTACTGCCCTGGGTAATGGTAGAATGAATTTTATTTCATTACATATCGTAATTAAATTTTTGTTGGAAATGGCTTCTAGTACAGATATAGTTTCTGGAGCTTTAAGTGATTTAGTTGAATATAGTGCACCGGACCACTGGCTTTGAGAGAAGATGCTGGTTTGCTCTATTTAAATTCTGACATCATTGTGCAGTATGCCACTTGCGATCTTCATAATAATTATGTAAACCCCTAACATCATTTCATGACAACAGATGTATTCATGAATGTTCATCCATTCTGAGCTAATCTTGCATCAAATTATTATTCTTTGATGCTTATTTACGGATTCTAAAACAACTTGAAATTTTTGGAGAAACCTCATTGGAATATAGGGATTATGAATTGTTGTTGTAATAGATATTCCTTTTTTGGTGTCCTTTGCACATTGATTCTGGTCAACCGCTTATATCGTTTTATGAACTTTGAACCTCCTTTCCATTGGGAATTATCTAGATTGCAGAAGAGCGCTTGGAAGATAACTGGGTTCCCTTGGATGAGACACTAGGCACAGAAGAGCTTGAAGAGAGACTTCGTGTGAAAGAGGCTCACACAAATGCAGCAATTCTTGAAAGTGTAAGAAACCAGCATACAGACTCTGATGCTGCATTTCTTGATAATCTAAATACTTTTTTTTGTTGTTGCTAATTTGCACTTTTTTTAATCTATGCCAGATAGGAGACATTCCAGATTCTGACATAAAACCACCAGAGAACGTGTTGTTTGTTTGTAAACTTAATCCAGTTACACAAGTAATCATTAACTGAATAACCAGTTGATTCTAGTCATGTTTCATCAAGTCCTTGTTTCAATGCTACATTTGTTCATGTTTAAAAATTTTACAATTAGTCCAAGTAACTTCTGCAAGACTGCAACTCATGATAAGTCTCCTTTTGATACTTTATTCCCTTATCTTCATCTTGTTGTTGATTCCAGGATGAGGATTTATATACAATCTTTTCTCGCTTTGGGAATGTCATGTCGTAAGTGCTGCCTTCTGGCTCAGACTCGTAGATGCTTCTTGTTTTCTTCACCCCTTTTAACTGCAATAATTTGGTTTGCAGAGCTGATATAATTCGTGATTACAAGACTGGAGATAGTTTATGCTATGCTTTTATAGGTAAGTTCTTGTCCCATTATGCACATAGCTTTTTCTTACTTAAATCAGTATATTAATGTGTATTGATGTCAGTTGACTTTGTTCATGTGTTTTATGTTTGTAGATGTGGTAAAGTGTTGATTTCCATTTGTAATTGACTCTTCCATACTCTTACCTTGAAATAAATGACCTTGAGGATCCCTAGTTATAAGCCAGCATGCCTGTGTCATCCTGATTGTCATTTGTTAATAGTGAATGATTCTCACATGGAGTTACAAGTGCCATCAGGCATTGAACAGTTAGCCACAATGCTGACACTCTTGCTGCGAGTATGAGTTGGAAAATAAAGAAGAATAATGAAAAAAAGTAATTTAGGAGAATGATCTTATCTTCTCTCCAGTAACATTAATTAGGAGGAAGAGTAACTAGGGGCAAGATTAGTTTTCCATTATTACTATGACTTCAGTCTGGAATTGGATTGACATTAGACTTAGTTTGGCACAGGACTGATGGGGGCATTTGTTGGACATGTAAATTTTATTACCCCTCTAATTTTTCACATTAGATGAAAATTGTAAAGCAATAGGTTTAAAAAGATGTCTAACTACAGAAGGTCTAGTAGGAGTAGACCAAGTTTAAAAATAAAGAATAACATTAAATAGTTACAGAAAAATAACACTTTTGAGTCCTTTCCCTTGACAGAATGATATGTGCCATCTGATATGAGCAGCACAATTGACATGTAAATTGCCTAGCTTGAGCATTGAAATGCTGAATTGGATGGATCATATAATCCCGGAGTTGTCCCCGAGTCGAAGATACAATAACATCACATATTTCTGTTGTTTTGTCTTTGGATTAAACATAAGTGAGGTATCATCTTTGGGAAACAGAAGACACCACTTTTTTGGGAAAGCATGATCAAGTTTTTTTTCTTTTTTTAAGTTATTGCAACTGAAAGGAATAGTGAAAATTTTATGTATTGGCGAGTTGAATTAATGGAAACTGCCAAGTTATCTTTTGCGCAATTTAGGTAATATTTTTTTGAAATGGAAGTGATATTTTCTTGTTGGTTGTAGTTTTTTGTTTTATTTCTCTAGCCTTTTGGTTTTGAAAAGATCAGCTTTTTTCACCAGTCATCTTATTCTATCATTGCCTGCATTCCTAAAAAGCAGGTTCAACATAAATAATTAAGAAAAGTCTTGAGGATGAATAAGTTTGTTATTAACAACAATGGCAGCAAAGGATTCATAGACTTGATGATGTTGATTTGTTTTACATTGTCAAGATTTAAACTTAATGTTCATATCTGATTATTGTGTATGCATTCACTTGTCATTTTTCATTGTTACTTAACATTTGAGAGCATTTTCTATCCATTTCTTATCTCAGAGTTTGAGACAAAAGAGGCATGTGAAAGAGCATATTTCAAGGTATGCCTTTGTTGCCTTTAATTTGAAGTAACTGTTTGTTTTGGGTTCTAAACCAGGGTCTGTTGGGAAGTCAAGTGCCTTATAACAGACTCTTTTCTGTTATACTTGGAAGAAACAGGGTCATACTATATGACTTCTAATATTTGAGTCAACTGTCTTGACTTTATAGATATTAAGCTCTGATGAGTTGTATCTCTCTATGAAGCTAATTTTGTGAAAAGTTGTGAAGTAGGTTCTTTATGCTCAAGTTACCAATCAGCTTATTGTAGTTCTATTTAGGTTTCATCACATTCTAAATCCTTCTGATCAAGTGTCAAATATTTTAATTGAATCATAATCAAATCATGATTATAATCTTTCTCGAGTAAGGATACCCTGACATAATTATTGGACGAATTGGGACGGGTTTTGAGCTTTACTTGGAGTAGTCCATTGGTTCATAGGCTCCTTGTTATGCTTAAACTGATCCTGTTCCTGACTGTGATACTGCTATCTCATAGATCCACATGACCTACTCTCCTTGCCCTCAAATTACTACCATCAATACAAAACAATAAATAAAGGCAGTGATATTATACGAATATTTTTCCTGTAAACACCATGCAAACGTGGTTGGTTTGTCGTTTTGAAAATACTAGAGCCCTTGTTGATGGTCATTTCTCCCCTCACTTGTTGCTCTCAGCCCAAAACAAGTGACGGCTACTGTTTGGACAGAATGATGATGATTTTTTCTTGAGAGGCTTAACCTTAGCGTTGTATTAAGCCTATGTGATTTGGATGCCATAAACTTGGGTCACAGAAATAACCTCTTTCCTTGTGTGTGAGAGGCTGTATGCACTGACCTTCTCCATGCCCCACTTTTGTGGGAGCCTAGTGCACTAGACAACCCTTATTTATAAGGGATCAGGGTGTAATTAAGCCTAGTGCAGGAGCCTGTTATTCCCATGTATGGGTGTAATTGTTTTTCCTACAGTATATGTTATGCTAGTGGATTATTTAGTATTAGTAAAAAGTGCATTCAAGGAAGGGATCAGGCAATAGGCACTATTTCCTTGACTTCTTTGTGATATTTCTTTGTTGTACTCAACAAAACTATGAGAAACTTCTGACAATTTGAAACTAGGATTTCTGTTTTGCCCTTCTAAATTGTAGATGCTCCACAAAGTAATATATATATATATATATATATATATATATATATATATATATATATATATATATATATTAATGACTTCTCAGTGACAAAGTGGAGACCCTGTTTTTGAGTCGTCATTGCAATTTTCCTCTCTATATACTATATAAATTAACCTTCAATCATGAGATTTTGATATTTAGCCAGCCACATGTGGGGATTGTGTGAATGATTTATTTAATCTTTTGAATCAATTAATTTTTATAGTGATGTTATTTTTATTCTGTTAATCCTTTTTTTAAGCATGCTTGATGTTTGTAACTTAGAAGATTTGATCATCACACTTGGAACACTGGTTGATCATGATTTGTGAGGCTGATAAGAGGGGAAATTGTTCCATTAAAAGTGGAAATATTATTACGCAGGCTCTTAGTTTCTTTAATGACAGTGAGGAGGTAGAATATTTGGATTTGTTATCTATAACGTCTCTTGTAGCTACTATAGTTTCATGTATAGTGGCTGAGGATATGCATACTGATTTTGGTGACCATAACAGATGGACAACACTTTAATTGATGATCGAAGGATACATGTGGATTTCAGCCAAAGTGTTGCTAGACTATGGAGCCAATATAGGCAGGGCAAAAGAAGTCATCCCACTAAAGGTAACACGCATAGCATCCAGTAAATTTGTTTTCATGATGAGTAGTAGCTAATGTCTAATTTTTGGCTCAGCATTTGCATTTTATATTCCACTTAGAACAACATAATTTTGTTGTTATTATTCATTTGAAATAGTTGATGTATAAACCTTGCTGTCACTTGAGGTTTTACCACTTGGTACAGTTCGGTTTTTACCGATTCATCAAGGGACTGGCACACGGACCAGGAGATTTCATTCGGCTTGATCCATGATAAGTTTTAATGTCCAATAATTTCATTCTACTCGGTTTACCAGTGGGTAAAGATAGCGGTGCCAAGGGAGACTGGGCAGTAGGCATTTTTTATAATCATGACAGTGGTCATGGCTGTCAATCAGTTTTTGATCTTCTCGTCTCTCTGTCTCTGACCAGATATCATATACTTTAAATTAACTAATCCATGACCTTTGGAAATGTTGAATATAATTTTACCTTCAAAATGCTGAAGTGCAATCACTGCCTCAATATATTCTGTTGTTGCTTTTTGTTCAGTGTCTTGCATGTATATATGTCTTCGTTCTGTGTCTTGCATGTATGTCTTTGTAATTGTTTACTTGGTGTAGAACATATAACTTCCAAGAACAATTGCTTAAGTTTGATAAGTACATTGCTACATTAATGAGACATGGAAATTGATTTGACCATTTATTGCATCCAGTTTCCATAATTTATGGGCCTCTAGCAGGGCTAGCACACTAACTTACTGGGATTTCATGTAGACATGCAAAGGACAACAAAAACATATGTTGCTTATTAGTATCTTTTTTCTCCTAAGTTTGGTGTTTTCTTTTGTAATTATATATGTTATTGTCCTTTGTAGATTTTAATGTGGTTGAATTTGGTTGATTTCAACAAAAACAGAACCCCACGCTGGTTAACGTTGAATTTAATTGGGTTGTGCCTTATTCATTTTCTGAATCTTTTCATGCTTGAAATGTACCCTGTAGAATGACTGGCTCGGATGGGATGAGTCAAATAGAATCGACTCTTGACTTTTTAGTTAAAAATTTGTGATCTAATGTTTTGTTTATTTCAATCTTTTAGAGGGTTGCTTCAAGTGTGGTGCTCCTGATCACTTTGCCAGGGACTGTGATAAGGAGGACTCTGATAACAAGCAGAAGGGACCAAAATATGTTTTGAAAGATGATAACACTCAGCATGGAGGGCATGAAGATAAGAGGTCCTGACCACTTTCTCACCTCCTATTCCCTCCTTTTTCTGCTGTTGTATTTTCTTTTATCATTGAAGACTTGATGCTTGATGGTGCAGGTATGACATGCTATTTGATGAGGATAATCTGGAGACTGTGGGCCATAGAGCTAATGGACAAGAAAAAACAAAGAAGCAAAATGCAAGTCATCACTCTACTGAGAGGAATCAAGATAAGAGAATTTCAGACAGACATCGACATGGAGATGATATAACCAGATATGATAGAGTGGATGGGAAGAGTCGAGGAAACAGGAAACATGGTGACTATCACAGAGATAAGCGAGCCGATGAAAAAGGTGATGAGGATAGAGAGCATCGTCGGAGATTGCACGAGAGTAGCAGGCATGTATATGACAGTGGAGATCCCAAAAGAAGCTTTGGTAGCCGACTAGAAAATGAAAGAGAAGGTGGTGATAGTCACAGAGAGAACGAGGGAGATGATCGAAAGAGATTAAATGCTGACGAGCTTCGCAGACGAAATGATGGGGACCGCAAGAGGAAAAGTAGAGACCATGATGTTGATGACTACCGTGAAAGGAAATATAGAGAAAAGGACCGGAAGTAAAGGAAATGAGATGTTAAAAGGAAATGAAAGGCATTATGACTTGGATTCTTGTCTTGAATCGCTGGTTCTATTTGTGAAAGTAGTTGGAATACTGAACCGTAAGACTTGGATCAGATTGTAGCTGCTGTAGTAAAGGATTGTTTTGAGCTGTCTGTTCTCTAGACAAGGGAAGGAACCACGTTATTTTGCTTGTGAACATAGGCAGTCGGAGTCGAGTCTTTTTATAAATGGAATACTCGTGTGTACGTGATGCAGAAATAGAAGAAAATTTACAGGGAAGATAGACGACTACTCTCTTGCATGCAGTCTTTTGTAATTTTTACTTGGTGTAGAACATATGACTTCCAAAAACAATTACTTAAATTTGATAAGTGCATTGCTACATTAATGAGAGAGGGAAATTGACTTGACCGTTCGTTACAGCCCAGTGTTCATAATTTTATGGGCCTCTGGTGGTGCCAGCTTACGTCTTTGTTCTGCTTCTTTTCATGCTAGCAATGTAACCCACCTACAGAATGGCCGTGGCTGTTTTGGATGGGATGAGTCAAATAGAATGGCTCAACAAGACTTTTCATTTACAAAATTATGGTATAATGTTTTGTTATTTCAATCTTGTAGAGGGTTGTCCAGTGTGGTGCTCCTGATCACTTTGCCAGGGATTGTGATAAGGACTCTGATAACAAGCAGGAAGGACCAAAATATGTTTTGAAAGATGATAACACTCAGCATGGTGGGCATGAAGATAAGAGGTCCCCACCACTCTCTTATCCCCATTTCCTCCATTGTTTGCCTGTCTTAGAAGCAGAATGCAAATAATCAGGACAAGCATTCTACGAGGAGGAATCATGGTTAGAGAACTTCATAATCGTTTGGGTTGGAGTTAGGATTTAGGATTTAGGTCTTAAAGTTTGGGGTTTAAGGTTTGAAGTTGAGTATTTGGGGAGACAATTAAATAAATAAGATGACAAAGAAATGGGCTGTGCGTGAGGAGCGTGTGGAACCCACATGCGAGCATTGTGATCCGACCATTTATCGTTACACATTTTGATCGAATTTGAATAATGAACAATGCAGTGTCTATATGGGCTGCGCGTGAGGAGCGTGTGGGTCCTATGTGTGTTGTGCGTGCGGAGCATGTGTGGTTGGTTTGGGCTGGTATGACATTTTGCCTCTCGATCCAAGTAACTGCATGAGGCAAGCTATTTATAAGTTTACATTATCAATAAATAGAAAATTAATTAGAGAAATACCATTTGACTTGTATATCTCAATTTTGTTTGGCACTAAAATTTTATTTGGGTATCCCACGTATAAGTCCATGCTGGATAAAGTGTTTTAGACATTATGTATAAACTCTATGTCTATAAATGCATGGTTACCATTGGAATATAACCCACAAAATGAGCGGGCTTCTGAGGCTTGAACATTAAATCCAAACTGTAAATTCTAAACCTATTAATATTATTTAACTTTTTATATAAATTCATGTAGGCAAAATTATATGATCATTATAATCTTATAATTTTATCAAATTATCATGGACTTGTTGTTAATTGACAAGTAGGATTATGATTCTTTAGGCCTTCTAGTAAATAATGTGGGCTAAATGGAGCAATTATTTGTTACCAACACATGTTCAGGCTTCTCTTGGGCCAAATCTTAATATAGTTATAATAGTTTTTACTAGTAAATAAATGTATTTTATAAATCTTAATTATTAATTTGGTTATAAGTTTATAATTTTATAAAGCATTTTATACGAGAATATTAGTGGTATTGATGGAGATTAAATTCGTCTAAAAATATTTTAAGAAATTAGCAATTCCACTATATCTTCATTTATATCTATATAGCAATCCCCGATGTCCATCTAATGTGATTGAGAATATAAATCGTACAATGACCAGTCTTAGTGCATGTATTTTCTCATATTTTTAAGTATTTATAAAACAATCAATATCTACCAAATTTTCTTTTTTTGTTTTTGGCACTTCTCTAAATGCGGGGATACAAGACGAACCGTGAACCATGACGCCCACCTGACGCACGGGTGAGATCTTAGTGTGGGGCCCATGCAGACGCAAGGGTTTTGATTTGAGAGTGGGGCTCCGCCGTTCTCACTTCCAAGCTCAGCAGCTTCTTTCCCTCCCGCTTAAGCCCTAGATAAACCCTTCACCCTTTCGGTTTCTTCTTTGCATCTGGTGATGGAATTGGCGGCCGTGGCAGCGACCCTCCGGAGGAGGGCCAACCCTCGTATCCTAATGGCGTCACTACTTTCCTTCCACTGTCGGCAGCGCTGTCGTCGCCTCGGCGTACGTTTCCTCTGCAGCGACGGCCACGCTTTCGTCTCCCAGCCGCCTCGTCCTCCTCCTTCCGAGCGGGCGGCAGAATCTTTCCACACTCGGAAGGTTCTCGGGACCTTTAGGGAAGATTTCGAGGTCGGGTCCCGGATCATCTCCATCGAAACAGGCAAGATTGCCAGGTTCGCTAACGGATCCGTTGTGATCAATATGGGCGATACCAATGTCCTTTCGACCGTCGCCTCCGCTAGAGGTGATGGGGCTCGTGACTTTTTGCCCCTCACGGTATTGAACCCTGTATTCTTTTTTCTTTCTTTCCTTTTTTTCTTTTGATGTATCATGTGGGTTTCTGCATTCACTAAATTAGCGTTTTTTTGATTTACTTTTATCATGTTTGTAATTAATAGGAAAATTTTCATTCTTCTCTTTTGGAAGTCACTTTAAGTTTAAATACCTCTTGTAAATTCTTAAGGTGGATTTTTTTTTTCTTTCTTTGAGAACAAGCGATTGAATTTGATTTTTCCGTGTGTTATTTGAAGAATATGCTATTTTGATATTATTGTTCTATATCATTCCTTTTGTACTTCTAAATGGAAGAATTATACATAACTCATTAATCTGCTGGCTCTTCTGTTTACTTGCTTGTTACTGATTATGATTTTACTTTGTTTCAATTAACTCAGCCCAGACAAAAGATTCAAGTTAATACTACTATTTAACTGCATGCAGTCATGGGAAGAAAAACAGCTGAGCACTGTTTCTCTCAATTTCAATGCAACGTTTGAGGCAGAAAATTTTCTTCTTTCATGTTTTAGTACAACCCAGGCATTAGTCTGTTTATTGGTTGTGGACATGCATTCGACTAGATTTGCACTAAATTAGTAGTTCCGTCCTCTGGAAGCTTATTCTCCATCTTTCTAGCTGAAGTTGCAAATCAGATAGCCTGAAAAACTAATGTAAAAAATATATTGGAAAGTTCGTCTAAATGGCTAGCTAATAAAATAATATTGATGGGATCTCAAAATTTTCTTTTCTCAATAATAAAATAATAGCCTAATAATATTTTTTGATCCTGCCTGAACTACTTCATCCATGGTGTCTTTTTAGCTTCTAGATTATCATGAGAAATTTGATGCTTGTCCATTCTGACATGTTTTCACCTCTTTCTTTTTTTCTCTATATATCTATATAACATTGTTACCTTCAAATGATCTCTGAGTGATTGGTTTATCCTAAGGTTGATTATCAAGAAAAACAGTATGCTCAAGGTGTTATTCCTACAACATTTATGCGGAGGGAGGGAGCCCCTAAGGAACGGGAACTCCTATGTGGCCGTCTTATTGACCGTCCTATCCGTCCATTATTTCCTTCTGGCTTTTACCATGAAGTGCAGGTTCACTTCGCTATTCACAATTTAAAATATTTTAAAAGGCTTCATACATTCATCTTCATCTGGACATCTGTTTTCTCGATGATTTACAGGTCATGGTAAGTGTTCTTTCTTCGGATGGAAAGCAAGATCCAGACGTGATGGCAGCAAATGCCACATCCGCTGCTCTGATGCTATCAGATATCCCTTGGAATGGCCCAATTGGGGTAATACGTGTCGGGAGGATCGATGGAAAATTTATCTTTAATCCAACTATGGATGAGGTAATATTCTTGATATGTTTTGAATTTTAAAAACAGGTTGTAGGCTATAAAAATATTTTTGTAGGTTCTATCTTTGTTTATGGTGGATTATGAGTGTGGAATTTGGTGCAGAATTGAGTATCTTGGTTTTCCTTATGTCATACTGGTGTTTTGAATATGCAGCTGAGCCTCAGTGATCTCAATTTGGTGTATGCATGTACAATGGATAGGACTCTGATGATAGATGTACAGGCACGTGAGATATCAGAAAAGGACCTTGAAGCTGGATTAAAACTGGCACATCTTGAGGTGTAATAACTCATTGACTTAGTCTTTTCTAATGAGAAAATTTTAAGTCCTGGCTCATCTTTTTGTTGCTCAGGCTGTCAAATACATTGAGCCTCAAATTAGACTGGCTGAAAAAGCTGGCAAGAAGAAGAAAGAATATAAACTCTCAATGATTTCAGATGTTACACTAGAGAAGATAAGGAACTTAGCAGAAGCACCTATTCAGGTTGTCTTTACAGATTCAGCATATGGAAAGGTGCCATTCTTCACTCCTTTTATTTGATTTATGCTTTTCTCCAAACAGGCTACAAAAGATAGTAAGTCATGGCTTCTTGTGTGCTTTAGATTTGAAAATTGACAGATTCTAATCATGAAATGGTTTAGATGATATAATGGATTGTGTATTGTTAGTTTGAACGCGGAGAAGCATTGGACAAGATTACACAAACTGTTAAAGCAAAACTCGAAGAAGAGTGTGATGAGGAGAGCTTAAAAGTTCTGCCAAAAACTATTGATACAGTTAGAAAACAGGTGCCACTGTCTGTCCAAAATTTTGTGTTCTATGCTTTGTTTCAAATTTTTTATGTAATTTATTTAAACTGCTGGTATATTATGGTACCGTTGCATGCATTTAGGTCAAGCCTACAATCATAATTTCCTAAATGTTCTCCTAGAGAAATTTCTCATGCTTTTTGGTTTGATAAAACTATAAAAATGTTATGCATCTTTTCTTTTGAATTATAAATTCTGTTAGAAATAGCTTTTGTCTTTTGTTACTTAATTCTACATTGTTAATCTTGTCTTTGGTTGATAGTTTTGGTCTAAGCTATCGGTCAAACAACTTGATCTGTTGTCTACCTTTTTATTAAAGTCAATTTGTTCACCGGCCAGTTTTGTATTAGGTCAGGAGCTGCCATGGCTAGGTTTACCTCTTCAAGCCTAACTTTAGTATACAAATATTCCAAAAAGCATCACATACACCTAGGTTTACCTCTTCAAGACTTTTGGGGATGTGGTCCACTATGGGATTCCGATTTTACCATCGATGCTACTAGTGTACTAGACTTTGTCATTTCTATTTTGACAAGTTCTGCTCCTACCAGTCTACTCGATCACTTCACTATATTGTTTAACTTATAAGCTTGCTTCAACTTAAAGGTGAAGCTGCATGATGCTTCTGTCATGCCACTTCTTGGGAGAGTTAAATATATACAATTTTAACCCCTCGTTTGTTGTGGTTGTTTTTTGTTGCTTAAATTTCAGGATGTGATGGTGAGCTCATGAATTTTAGTTAGTTAAGTTTATCACTATACATTTTTAGAGTAGCTGAATTTAACTTCAATGATGGACACTTTCAAAATTCTGTCTTCTAACCAAATGAAGTCCAAAGCATGTAAACGTGAGCACATTGACTTAAGTGATCTCATTGTAATACTAACGGACATATAAACCTTTTCATAATTGCTTGTTTCCCTGTTAATTCGATCTTTTGGGCTTTTATGGAGTCATGGTTTAAAATCTTAGCCTGATATCATAGCCATTCAATACATCAAAAATATAAAGTAGAAAAAAACTTATAAGCACGATAAAATTAGCACGTGTTACATGAGTTAAGTTATATATGATAGAAGCTATACCTTTCCAAGAGGGGCCCCTACTAATACCAAATTGAATGCCATGTAATCTCAAGAGGTGGTTGTGGTTGGATGTTGAGGCTATAATTTAGTAGATACCCTGTGATCCAGGAATAATTGAGCAAGTCTGCTCACTAAGTGGCACATTAATAATTATACTGACAATTTGTCCAATTGGTATGTATGTTGGATTGTGTGCGAGTATGACCAGTGACCACAGTGTTTGTTAAGCAATAGAACAGCCGATGGTATTCTACTCTTCAGCAATATGAAGCCTTTAATTCAACAACTTGTCTCTCTAAGCACTATTATTGTCTATTTCAACAAATTGAGACTAATTGTCTATCTCACACTATTATTTAAGAAATTCATGCCAATAGTAAGATTGTGATCATGAGGAACTCTTGTCAGAGTTGATATCAGTTAAGCTCTCTCATATAATCAAAGTCATCAAAAATTTTCTCGTGTTTGCCTTTCGTTTCCTAAACCATTCAAGTGGATTTGGCATTAACAATTTATGACAATTTATGCCTTCACAAAAAAGGCTACTGCAATCCTCTTGCTGGGATGGATTAAAAACATGTCTATGCCTTATAGCGTGGTCCATATGATGGTATTCCATGATACATGAATGTCATCAGCATTCTCAGAGTTATCATCATCGCTCAACCCTGATACGGATCATAGGTAGGCTGTGTGGATGTCTATCTATCAAGTTTCTCCTTCTGTTCTAAGTTTTTCTTATTACTTCTGCTCTAAGTTTTTCTTAGCACCTGTCCTAGAAGCCTGTTTAATTTACTGAGGCAACCCTGGATATAGCCTAGATCTGCATTGATTTAGGTGGAATCCATGTGGATCTAGCATAGTTCCATGCAAATCTACCATAGTTTTGCATTAATTTGGTTGGATTTTCGCTGATCTATATTATCTTCACAGAAATCTAGCTTATAGTTGTTTAAACTCTCGGCTGGATTCGTGCGATTATAAATAAATTGACCGATCTTGGTCAAATATGCACAGATTTATCTTAAATAAAGGTAAAATTAACCTACATCTGCACTGATATTGGTTGATCCATGCAGATCTAACCTAAATTTATGTGAATATATCCTATATCTGCACAAATCTTGTCATGAAATTCATGAGTAAAAGTATGAAGAATATCACAAAAATACTCTATCATTTCCCCAAAATTCATAACAAATGCTTCAAGTTCAACTTCAGTTTTACCTTGCTTTCATGAAGACAACCTAAATTTGAAGAAGTTTGATTTGCTTGAAATTTAACAATGGTTTGAGAAGAAGATTTGAGAGTAACATCGAGAGTTTAGGGAGAAGAAAAAGGAAAAAAAGGATTTGTTTCAGATTTTAAATGAGTGAGAAAGGGGGATCAAATGTTTAACAGTATTCTTACCACAATGGTATGTTCAGGACAATGATCTTATGAAACTTCGGTTTGGTCGCTCCCCTTGTCATTTTAGCCTCAGTCCAGCAAAGGCCAGTTGGTACAGAGTAATATGCTCGAGATCTCAAGACTTTATTGGAGTAATCAGTTGTAGTGTTATTGGATATTCAGATATCCTTGTACTATTAATGGTACAAGGAGATATAGAGAAGACTTTATTAGAAACTACAAAAAAGACGTTAATACTCAAGTTAACTACAGATGACTTTTTTCCGCTCAATGGCATGTAGTCAACTCCAAACAGTTGGGACTTTATATTGTTTTATTCTTGTTGTTGTTATTGTTGTTGCTTAGCTAAAAGCATAGTTCTTACTGGCGTCAAAATCACAACACTATCTATATATCTCATTTAAAATTGGTTTATCTTTATTGTTGAGACAGTTTACTATGTGCTTCCATGTAATAGTAAGAACTCCTTTGTTGGTCTGTTGGTTTGTTTTCTGAAATGGTAATTCAATGTTTAGTATCATAAAAATACTATTGTTTTAAGATGATTAAATAACTAGCATGTGACACCATGCGGTGCATAGTCATTATGTGCATTCCACATTCCTCATCAAACCAGAGGACTACTTGGTCCTCGTGCTCGCATTAGTCTCATCACCACTCATGTTATTAGTAGTTAAGATTCTAAAGCACTCATGGTTAAGTTCACTAAGAGAAAGCACTACTGGTGTGAAAGCTTTTTCTCGGCTACTAGATTATTTATCTCAGTTATATATACTTATGAAAATGCTCTACTGAAAATGTGGTTTTGCTTTCCCTTGTGATCATTTGTCATGTGTGTAGATTATCCGGCGAAGGATTATTGATGAAGGCCTTCGAGTTGATGGTAGAAAACTTGATGAAGTTAGACCTCTGTATTGTGAATCTGGAACATATCCCATTCTCCATGGATCTTCACTTTTCTCTCGTGGTGACACTCAGGTTGACAGTAATTTTCATATACTTTATTCAATTCTAATTCAAATGCTTCTGTCCGAAATATTTGGTTTCCATAGAATATTATTTTTGGGTGAGAACAATCACATTCTGTTGGAAATTTTGATTATAGGTTTTGTGCACAGTTACCCTTGGGGCACCTGGAGATGCTCAAAGATTGGACTCGATAGTTGGGCCACCAACAAAGCGTTTCATGCTTCATTATAGCTTTCCTCCATTCTCAATTAATGAAGTCGGCAAACGTGGAGGCTTAAATAGGCGTGAAGTTGGACATGGTATTTCATCTTTTCATGCTGCTCTTGGAAAGCCTTACTTTGATTTTTCTGGCCTCAGGCAATACTTTTGCATACATTTTTACCAAAATGTGATGTTCATTTTAACATATATGAGGGTGCTAGATCAAGAATAGTTTAATCAACCAGTTGATGGTGTTATAATTTTGGCTAGTGCACCACCATTTTTCTTATTTTGAATCTGAAAAGAACAAATATTGCGAGCGACACAGTAATGTTTCATGTTTTATTTACTAAGTCAAATATCTGAATGAAATCTAGCTATATTAGATTTGTTTTGCTTTCTCATTCCATTTTTTTGTTGAAAATTATAATTCAGTATAAGACAAACACCAAAATGTAATATATGCAAGTAGTTGCCATTTGTGTTTCCGGCTTTAAATGTGCTGCTTATTGCGTGTATGTGGATATAACATTTTAGGATATGTTAACTACTTGTTGTAGTAGCAAAAATAGTGGCAACTATCTTCTTTTGAAGGTCGGAGTACACTAAATGACAAGAGCTTTTGAAGACTTTTGCCTATGAAATCATTTGAGCTGTGGATAAACTGCATAATGTATTACCTTACATGGCCACTTAACAATTCCTTTATTGGTATTGCAGGCTTCGGTCCTTTTTCTTACAGTTGTGATCCTTAGAAGGCTCAATCCATCTTTTTGTGATGTATGCATGTTTCATCTAATTGGAAAGGATGTTCTTTTAGACTCGGCTAAAGCATTTATTAGATTTTTGGGCACATTGAAATGAATTACATATTCATAATTCAAGACTGCTGCTGTCATTATTTGTCAGTTGCGTCAGCAAATGAAGTTTGTTGAAAAGTCTTTGTGCTCTTTAGATAACATACATGCTATTGTGGTTTTCACAGATGTATTTGCATAGCATAATGGTAGATCAAATTGGCATGTATATGTCATGGACTTCCTGAGTTTTTTACCTATCAATTTCCTCTGAGGATTGACTTTCCTTTTGTAGGAACACTTGCTGAAAAGGCTTTGCTTGCTGTATTACCTCCTGAGGCTGATTTTCCATATACTGTTCGTGTCAATTCCGAAGTCATGGCATCTGATGGTTCAACGTCAATGGCAACAGTATGTGGAGGTACCATCTTTATGTTGATTTTGTACTGGATTGTAGTAGTGTTGCCACGTCTGACAAAAGTTTTGTTAAAGATAATAGTCAACTTTAATTGGCACCTCTGACAGCATTTATGTTCTTTTCTTTTTATTATGAATGGTCAAAAAAATTTTGTTTCCATCATCATCATTCCCTTCTTTTTTACATTGATAATCTTATAAAAAATTGCACATCTGTTGAACCTCAAGCAGTGAGTGGTAGGTTCAGGCACATTCCTGTCCAGACTTTAGGCACATGACTTTATCTAATCCTGTTCAGCTAATGACTAGAAATATTTCCATTTTGATTATTCACCTTCTCATTGTATATACAAGAATGATGTGATATTTTTAATCTTAGAGCAGATGCTTCAAATTTATAAGGATGCTACTGTGTTGCTCATTGAGAGAAAATACTTGATAATGATACATCGAGGTGTAAATTTAAATATTATTGTTTTCTTGTCATGTTGGTTGAAGATTCACTTGTCAATACTACAAATGAAGGTGCTGTTTTGTTTTAATTTGAACTTTCTTAATATTACACTATTTTTTTATATATCAACTAACTTGCCACATGGCAATATTTTATGCATATCTATACCTACTAAGGTCATTAAATATAAGAAGGGAAGTTGACTTAAAAATAAAAGATGATAGGGAAGATATACTTCTTGAAAATTGGGAAGCCCAGACACATCAACTTGGTGGATGTATCTGTGTCGAACACTTGTGTGTTAGACGTGCTTGTCTGATACGTCAGACATGGATATGTTGCCGACACGGTCGGGCATGTGTCATTTTATTTATTTATTTATTTATTTATTTTTATTTGGGACACAATGTATCTGTGTTGGATGCTTCTCCTGTGCCCTTTCCCCCTCGCATGATGCTCGCATGTGACACTGAGCCATGTGGGCTTCAAGTGAGGGCGAGGAAGTGTGGAATCAAGGGAAATCGAGCCCACTTGTGTCGATTGTCCATGAGAAGGCTGAAGCTACCGTGGGCACCACGACCTATCGGCAACCTCACCCCCGTCAATGACTTCACCAGCACCCTCTGTAACCTGACCCTAGTCGACGACTTGATCAGCACCTATTGCATGATCTGCGTGGCTACGCCCTTGGCGACCTCGCCTCACCCCTATCGGCGACTTGTCACCGGTGGCTTCGCTCATGGGCTTCCATCAGCGTCCCTCTTGTTGACCCATCACCTCGCTTGTATGCAAACAACAACCCGTGACCTGTGTTGCAGAAAGCCTTCTCTCTGTTTCTTTTTAGTATTTCTTAAGGAATTGATCACCTTTTATATTCCCTAAATTACAGTGTCACATAACTATATTGATAGTAAATTATGTTATTGTCTCTTATTAGTAATAAGTCATGTATAAAATTTATAACAGAAGTAAATAATGTGGATATGTGCTAAGAATTTATCTAAAAAAAATACTAAATGTACTATAAGAACTACTTAGGTGCTTTGTCCTACTAGTTGTCTGCATTATGTGAGAGCCTTGTAGAACTCCATGTATTGAAGAAGTAATATGCTTGGTTGGTAATTTTGTTTCCAAGTGCTAAAAACAGGTTTATGGTTTTTACTTAATATTTTTATTTTAACAAGCGGCTTTTCAGAGTTTGTTTTGCTGGTGGTAGATATCACTGCTTTGGCAGTTGGCACAATATTAAGGAAATCTTTTTGGATTTTGGATCATATACCCAATAGGCTTTGCGAGGCATACAAGGGAGGCCTTACACAGCAATTCTGTCTTCTGCTTAACTTTTTGAGAAGTTTTCAATTGTTAGGAAAAACTGATTTTGTGTTTAATGCGTCTCCTAAACACTGACATATCTTTATGTTCTCTATAGGAAGTATGGCTTTAATGGATGCTGGTATCCCTGTAAGAGTACATGTCGCTGGTGTTTCAGTTGGTCTTGTCAGTGATGTGGATCCATCCACTGGAAGAATTATCAATTATCGTATACTGACAGATATACTGGTAAATCCATATTGCCTTTTATGTTGGAATGAATTTTCCAGGAAAATCTTAAGCATGAAGGATTTATTTGTTCCCTCTGGTACATGTGATTTGTTTGCTGGACCAGAAAAAATATATCCAAGATCTTAGCGTAACCTTGTTTTGGATATGCTTCCTTACTAGCTTTACTTGTCTCTTTTGTGAATTCCCAGGGTCTTGAAGATCACCTTGGGGACATGGACTTTAAAATTGCGGGAACAAGGAAAGGGATTACTGCAATCCAATTAGATATAAAACCTGCTGGAATACCCCTAGACATAATTTGTGAGTGTTTAGAACCGGCACAAAAAGGTCGTAATCAAATTCTTGATCGCATGGAAGAAGAAATAAGTGCACCTCGTACACTGGGTGATGGAAGTACACCTCGATTAGGTTTCTTTGCTTTTCTCTATTTCAGACCTTGCTTCAGTTGTCACAGGTTCTAATAATAAACTGATGTTGTGGTTTACTGATATGATTGTATGCAGCCACTTTGAAGTTTGCTGCTGATTCTCTTCGACGATCTCTTGGGTTTTTGATCACTCAAAGAAAGAGGATTGAACAGGAAACAGGTGACTGATGAGCTTTCATGTCTTAAATTTCTTCTAGTCTCCTCATGAAAGATATTGAATTTTCTAGTGAATATTTTCTCACATTGGAGGGAGAAAGTCAGTGGTCTACATTTGTTGGTCCTGTTGTATGTTTGAACAAATAGGTGATAGCACACTAATTTGCCATTATGTAAGATGTTATAATATGGTTGCACTAGTATGTTTTCACATGAAAAAAATTCTGTTAAAGGAAACAAATGCAAAAATCATGCCATGGCTATTGATGTTGGTGTCTTCCATAATGCCATAGTAAAAATGATAAAGTATAGATAATACACTTGGTTCTAATATTCTTTGAATTATGCGGCTTATCTTTGAAAGCATTCGACTAATTCCAATGTCCAAATGGACATGCCAAGCATTTGGGTAGTGCTTATGCTTGATAGACTCAAATATCCAGTTTACAATATTGTTCCAGTATCCGGATATGATATGCAATCTAAATTCCTTTGATGGTTTATGTTTAATTTCTTATAGATTATAAAAACATTTGAGCATTGTCCAAACTTACAGATTTTCTGAGGATAATCTTAGTGAAAGCAGTTTCTCGACTCTTAATCTCAAGGATGAGAAACTCTTCTACTTATATTCTTCCATAAGAAATTAAACGTTTTTACCCCCTAATTTTACAGATTAAATAAGGAGCCAATTCAAAAGATTAAAAAGAATACAGACAACATTATAACTCTGGTACAGTTCACCCTTGATTATTTGTTCAAATGCCAAACTTCCTAGTTCAATCTGCCTCCAGTAGACATAAGCTATTAAGATCTGATGTGTCCTACAATCTTAATTCTTATGATTACACCAAAAAGTTTATCATTTATGATTGATTTATGTATATAATTTTTGCAAGTGATCAAGCCAAAGCTCATATTAGGGACTATGTAAGAACTGGGTCATATGTGTAACATTCTCAAGTGTAGTTCTACAAGGGCTTGATGGGCATATCACCATTGAGTAACTTGAGCTTAGCTATTTTGGGTTGGTTCAATAATTTAAGGGGTTAAGGGTCAAGACAAAAGGTATCAGAGGCAACTTAGTGGTGGATATAGACAAGAAGTTGAGTAGAAAAGGGTTATCTGTGGGAATGGAGGCATTTCATGACGTTAAAATCACTGAGATAAACCTCACGTGCATCATGTCTGAGTTCAATTCTGAGCTATGTTGGCCTTTGATTAGGACGTTAAGCCTTTTAAGTCAGTTGTGGAAGGTCAAGTGGACAAGGTTGTAATACCCCCAAGTTTAGTGCTACATCAAAAGTGGGCAAAGACTTGAATTGACTTAGTAACCTAGGTCTAAACATTTTGGATCAATGGTTTAGGAATGAGTCAGTTATCCGATCAGACTTGGTATGACAATATGGGTGGTACCTTGTTGGTATAATATTGGTACTTGTCAGTATACTAAAATAGAAAGTTGATTCATATTAGCATTTTGGCAATGTCATGGTACACCAGTGTGCATGTTTCTTGTCATGGACCAGTACTATGCAATTGGTACAACTGGTTACTGTGCTATCTCATAGTTGAATTTATGTTAGTACTTATTCTCTTTAAATGTTAAGTTCTGGTAGAATCTTCTGTCTACAATATGAGGGTTCTAAAGGTGTTTGTTAATTTTCTTGCCTTGCATAGATGTCTATGATACAAATGCCAATGTGTTTGCAACTTATTATAGTATTGCACTTTATCAAAACCCAAGAATCACAATGGTCTCTTCAATTTGGTTTCTTTCCTTGGGCATAATTTTTCTTCTGCTAATCCACCTTACTCTCTCAAGGTGCACGAGTTTCGGTAAATGATGGGGCAGTAACTATCGTGGCAAAAAATCAATCTATCATGCAAAAAGCTCAAGAAAAGGTACTAGTTCTAAAAGCTCAAGGAAATTGTTTGCATACTGCTTTGAAAGCTCAAGAAAATGATTTGCAACTATCTTTTAGCTGTCATGTTACACAATCATCTTTGCATCTGTTGCCGAATCTATACTATTGTTTGGATTTGTCTTTGTGAATTATGCTTCTATTAAGTGATTTTTTTAAAATACTTCTGGGCAATGTTTGAAATATCAGTTTGGCTGTTATGAACAAACCAGTATTTACTAGTTTGATGAAGCACCGGACATGGACCATGCAGCAATTATTTTATTTGGTGGTACCAGGTGATTTAGGTGAAGACACAGTCCTTTATTACAGTTCTGTTCTGAGCCAACAAGTTGTTGGTTCTAGGTATTGTTATTTTTCAGTAAAGTTATTTGAGTTGCTTATCAGAAAAGAAACGATGCACATATTGATCATCTGATAGGCTTGTGTGTCATAAAAGGCATCCTATTTCATGGTTCCTATTATTGTTACTTGCCTTTGAGTTGCTATTTAACTTTTAACACATCTATTTACTTTACTTTGATAGGCTTGTGGGTTGTGTAGACATCGTTTTTTGTTCCCATTTGTGTGTTAGACCCAGATGAGCCTTTAATCCGTGTGATTGCAGCCAATATCTGCTCTACGATATTGCTTGATGCTTCCTATTTAGTTTATATGACATTCTAATGAAACACATGTTGCATTCTCTATTTGTGTCGATTCAGGCCAGCTTTTCAAAACCTAATCATTGTAGCATTAGAAAAGTGGATCTTTATTCTTTTGATTTTCTGCATTATCGTTTCATCATATTAGTCTAAATTCTAACATAGTTAACATTATCTAGATTTTGTGGTCTTAGTCTTAATGTAATAATACCTTCTTTTATGTGATGAACACTTTTTTATTCTCATCTATAAAGAACATTTTCGGTGTTTGTCTCGAGGTTTGATAGTGCAAATTGATGGTTGATTGATAATACATTCATAACTGCCCCTTCATTTTCTCTTTTCCAAAATTTACTTTTAAGATCAGACCTAGTTCTTTCATAGATTTGCATCCAGAATGGTCCTAGTCATTAGTATCTAAATTACTTCACCTTCCTGTTCCATCTTTGTCCCGTCTAATTTGCTGCTACAGTCCCATTGCAATGGTTGGTGCAGAAGGTAGAACTAGAAGTGTAGGTATCGTGATAATAGTGGGATGGTGGTGATAGTCATGATGGATGTGGAGAGGCAGAGATGATGGTGGATATGGTGCTGATGGTGATGGAAGTTGAAGGTCAACTAGCATTGATGGAGGTGGCAGAAGTTGAACCACTTGGCAATAGCTTTTCCAATGTCTTTTCCTTCATGTATGCATCATCAGTACATGTTTGCTTTGCTGACTGTGGTAGGTAAACATCAAGATCCAAATCAATGACATTCGGAGCTGTCATTCTGCCAAGTCCTTTAGGAAACTTGCATAATGCAGACTGCCTCATGCTTCCTAGCCTGCCTAACTACTGAGGAGGGCCAGTTGGTCATCTCATGCTAGAACTCATGCCTAATCCCTATGACTCGTAGAGATTCTCACTGCAAATGATCCACTAAACCGACTTCGTCTGTCACATCCTGAATTTTTTTTTTTACAGGATTATAACATTTTTCCATAAGTACATCCGGAGTCTAATAAGCAAACATCACTTTATTAATATGCATAACTTGTAAATATTTATTACAACTCATTTATTCATCAAATCATAAGTCAAAAGCAGTTCTAGGTTTTATTGTGAAACATAGTGATGTTAACTTGAAGATAAATTCAACTGGCTCGAGCTAGCGATAGAGAAAGGTTTATTCTTCACTGGAATCCGGTCTAGTGCTAATGGGAGGTTGCTCTGAAAATCAAAAACAAAGAAATCTTAGCAACGCTGAGTAGGAACCCCTATAAGTCAACTGTAAAATGAATACATGACAAAAAATCAATTATCCCACTAGTGTATATTAAATACCCAAAGGAGCACTCCCCCAACAGTGGATGAAGATGTTTTATCCTATGAGATGAGTTTATGTTCTCCCAACAGCTGATGAAGGCAAACACACGTTCTTCCCAACAACAGATGGAGGAACCGTTTAGTCATTATATCTAACGGCCCGCTAATCATTGAAGGGAATCGCCCTATCTGCCCTCAGCAACGAAACAACATCATCTCATATTAGTCATGTCTATATCGGGATGAAATAATATATTAAAATATTTCTTTCAAATATCATTAATGTCAAACAATATCAATTAATCAATTGACTTAAACCATAATTCAAACAGTCCAATTAAACTTGATTTAATTAGAACTTAGCTAAATTGATTTTTAATCCTCATTTAGCCGGTTTGGAATTGTAGGGAAATATAAGGGCGACATCACATGCGTAGTGAAAGAACACTAAACAAAAACCTCAAATTTTTCAAAAAGGTGTTCGTCGTCGTGCGAAGATTGGTACGCAAGAACCTGCGAAACTTAAAACTACGTGTGAAATAAGTCCAAAAGCAGACTTAACAGCCAAATTTGGGTCAAATTTGACTGTTAGAACAGTGTACCAGTCAAAATTTGACCAGTTTCGCCCAGTATCAATGCTGGACCGAGCAATAAGTGTTTTACTAGGGCTTGAACCACCCAGTATGCACCTGGTCCATGAGCCGGCCTGTGATCCAGTTGGTAAAGACCGGCCTGTCTACCATTCTGCCAGAAATTGCAAGCCTTGGTTAGGATTAATTAGGAAGAATTTGATGGCTTGTAGTTTAAGTAGTGATTTTGCCCTTCTACATAGGTCAATGGTAGGAAAAGATTCATTTATCCAAATAGCTGGCATCTGTTACTTATTTTGTGTAGCCAACATGATCTAGATACAACTAATTTTATGTGAAATTATTGTCTTCATAAGCCTGTAGTTCTGATTGTTGAGATGCTGTCATTTTCTTATTGCAGATCAGTTTTCTTATTGGAGGTGAAATTGAAGTTGGTGGCATATACAAAGGTGTTGTTTCTTCAATTAAGGAGTATGGTGCTTTTGTTGAATTCAATGGCGGCCAACAGGGTCTTCTGCACATTTCTGAGTTGTCACATGAAATTGTATGTTCTGCTATTTAATTCTTCAACTAGATATAGAGTCAATATGAATACATCATTAGTTAATTGACATGTCTCCTTGAAGTTTTTATCATTATAATTCTTGTTAACTGAAGTCATTTCATGTTACCAAGGATTGTTGTTTTGTTAGATGGGCTTGTCTACACATATTAGCAGAACATGATTTTATACCATGTTGGTTGGTGCAGCATGTGTTGGTTGCATCAGCACAGGTCAGAATGGTGCAAGCCTATGATACATTTTGACCTGTGTCAACACATGCCAGCTGGCATAATAATCCTTAGTTATTGTTATTGTTTTAACCGCTACCCCTTGAGTTCCGTGGCGCAAAAGCATTTCCATTATAAGCTTTTTTAACTATATATGGTTCAATAGAGGACTTGTTTGATATACTTAAATTATGTGGACTATACCAAATATATTGCCAAATGTACATGCTTAGTATTCTGTCCTCTGATATGTGTATTATTTTTGTTACTCTGAGTTTGCGAAATTATTTTAAAATTTTAATATGCATATTTTGTGATTAGATAAGCTATCTGTGGGCATCTGTATCTTTTGCCCCTTGCTCTCTTTTTAATAGCCAATTGCTAATTTTAGTAAATGCGTGACTGATTTGATTCTCATGCCTATTCTCTAGAAAGATCTGATTGTTGTGAACAAGCTAGCTGCGTGAACCTTAACAAAAGGAGTGCTTGCTGAGAGAGGATTCAACACTTCCTATATTTTGTAAAACGAAAAAAGTAGCAGATTTTCTGGACACAGTTCCTATGTCTCTATCCATCTTCTGTTTCTTATTCTTTTTCCCCTTCTGACACAGTTCCTAGGATTGCCTTTGAAGGGTTCAGACCCTTGCCGGAAGACCATTGATGTATAATGTGCTTAGACATGTCACAGCCTGCTGCATCACTATGTGAGCTAACTCTGGTCGGACTAAGAAAACTATAAAGGAAAAGCGAGAAGCTCTCCTATAACATAGTTCTCACTTCAAGATCCGTTTTGAACAGAACATCCAAGATATGGAGCAATATGTCCATCCTTGATGTTATCAGCTGCAACTTGCTGAAAATCTGGAAGATTGTACCTGAGCTTCTTGAGTCTTCACTTCCTCTCTTTCGATTCCCATCAAATCTTAAATCTTAATTCCCCAATCTTAAAATTTATACTTCAGCGGGAAATTACTCCTCATACTTGAGTTTATACATCTTTGGCTTATTGAAGTTGGATAGATTCAGCCTTATTTGGAACAACAATCGCAAAGTATTGCTAATATAATTCACTGCTGCCTGTTGATTAATTGTCTAGTTGATAATTGAACTACTGAATCTGACTGCTGGATTTATGACAGTCTGCTGCTTCAGTTCATAATTCTTCTTTTAATATAATAACATGCTTTTATTTCTAGGATTACATTTATTTCTATCGTGCTTTTAAGATTTTAATTTCATATGGCAGTCCTTTTGATCTTTAGAGAATTTTCTACAGCACCAACAACCACAAGCCATAATGTCCCAACTCTTTTAGTTGGCTATGTGGAATTGTTTTCCCACCATTGAGCTTCGTTTAGGGCAATATTACTAGACAAACATAACCACATTTTATTGTTTCTTAGAAGTTCTTTAAGAACTTTCTCTGATAATAAAATGTAATTATGTTGTGGATATATCACGTTTAAATACTTTAACTTTCATGCCAACCATTATCCTAAAAACATGTACTTGTTTGCTTGAGGTGTAGCATATTTCACCATTGAAACAGAACGAGATCTGGTTATTTTTCTCCCCAATTTCATTTTTATCTTTCTGTAAGACGAATGTTTCATGAGCACATATGAACATACAAAATTTTCTAGAGGCTTTCTGAAGGCCTTCAGCACCACCATTTATTTTTTCGATGCGTGAAGCACTTCCCATGATAGTTTATAATATTCTCAATATTGAATGTAGTATAGACTTTTTCACTAAAGGAATATTGTAGTTGCACATTCTTTATTGTTTTTAGGTTATAAATTTTTATTCATCTTTCTTTTGTTTAATGCTGATTTACACTTCTAATTTTAAACAACAACAATAAAGCCGTAAGTCTTAACTATTGGGGTCAGCTAAATTTCTGATTTTAAAGCTTTCCTAATTTTGATGGAGGGCTGATTTAGTACCAATCATTTCTAGAATATTGACTCTTGTCATCTGGTGTTAGATTGACTAGTTTCATTGCTTTCTCTTAACTTGTAATTTCGTGTGTAGTGTGTACTATTTTGAACAGCCCGGTCATGGGTTTGAACGCCACATCATTGTCTTGCATTAGACCATCTCACGGACAGCTTCTTGATTTGGATTCTGTGATATGGTTGACCCATGATTGATAGGGAAAGCTTTTAGCTTCGCTTCTGCATTTTTCTTGACTACATGATATGGAACTATTACTATGCATCTGTGATCAGACTTGGCGAATAGAATGATGTGTATTTCATCCTCAGGTATCAAGAGTTTCTGATATCTTATCCATTGGTCAAGAGTTATCTTTAATGTGCATCGGGCAGGATGTCAGGGGTAATATTAAATTGTCCTTGAAGGCTACAATTCCTAAGCAAGATTCCCTAAATGACAATTTGGATGGTCAAGCTTCTGTTGTTCCTGCAAACCAAGCAGTCAATGTTTGGGCCTCGCCCTCACTGGAGAACACGACCCGCATGGAAAATCTTAGGTCATTGAATGATGTACAAGATGAAAGTAATGAATTGCAGTCTGCCACATGCTCGTCTCCAGCAGTAGTAATTCGGAGTGCTGCAGAGTGTGATGCTCAGGATCTTGCTGCTGGTAAACATATCACAACAAAGCGTAGAAAGCTTAGCAGATCTTCTCCTAGGCCTTATAATGCATCTTTACCATGTCAAGATGTTGGAGAGTCACCAAAAAACAGAGATGATGCGAGTTTGAAGAAGAGGAGACAAACGAAGAAAGAGAAAGAAATGGATGCTTTTTCTGGTACAAAGCAGAAAAGTGACAGAGATGATGCATCTTTACCATGTCAAGATGTTGGAGAGTCACCAAAAAACAGAGATGATGCGAGTTTGAAGAAGAGGAGAAAAACGAAGAAAGAGAAAGAAATGGATGCTTTTTCTGGTACAAAGCAGAAAAGTGACAGCACACTCAAAACTGTGTCGCTTGCATATGATGTTGATGAGAAGCCAAAACCCACTATCCGTGCAGATTCACTGAAGCTTGGTGATACAGTGACGGCAAAGGTATATCAGATTCGTGCCCATGGGCTGGTACTTGAACTGAATGGTGGAATTCGGGGAATGTTCAAGTTTGAGGTACCCGATCTCTCTCTGAATATCTTTTTGGTCTAAAGTTATTCTCTTTGGGTGACATGTATTGAATAGATTGTCATATTAGATAACTCAGGTACTCAAACTTCTCTGGAGTTTAATTTCAGGTAAATGGCAGAAGGGACTTCGAGGTAGGCAAGGAGCTCGTTGTGAGGTGCTCAAGCTTTTCTAGCAAGGGAATTCCTGTTTTCTCATTGTTGAAAGATGAGTAAAAATTGTGATTGAAGCCTCAATCTTATGGAGGACTCGGTAAGTCTGGCGGAGCTGTATGAGACACCGGCTGAAGATCCACCATCATAAGAGAGCAGCTCAGAAATTTCATTGGAGGGACACATCAAACCTGAAGACTTTTACGTGTTTTACCGTTTGTTGCAGATCATTATATTAGTTAGTGTCAGATTATTATTATTTTTTAGGTTGAAACTACTGCTTGGAAGAAGCAAATGGTTGGGGACTTTGAGATTGGCTTTAGCCACATTTTTGTATGGATTGGTGATGCGGTGTATGCAGAGTTGAATAGTACGCTTTTGCGCCCCGTGCAAATGAAATTTTAAGTTAATCGTTTCTCTCAGTAAAGCGGGAATCCATCAAGTGGCGTGCGTCATTCTCTCAGCCTGTCCTGTTGCTCGCAAGATAAAGAAGGTGATGCGTCTTCTCGAGCTCCATCTGATAGCCCCTCGTTGGTCGTGAAACGTGGACTTAGATATGAACAATCGGTCAATGTGGCAGTTATGTCTTATGGTCTTTGGATGATATAGAAACACAGGAATTTGATTAGAGTCGACCAATCCAGATCCAATTATTCTGGTATCTTTTACAAGGTTATCGTTTACAACCGAAGGGATCCGGTGAGATATGTCACATCCACGTTAAAGGCGTAAAGGCCACAAGTTGGTTCGTTCAAATCACATTGATTGATGGTACGGTCACTCACTCCTGATTGGGATGGCATCGAATTGTGCAACAATGGCACTAAAAGGTAAATCCAAACATATTAAAATTAAATAGTGTGCCAGCACATATTTATTAGCTTTAAATAAACGTTATCTTTGCCTTTAATGTATTAGAGAAACGATGGTAAAGTCTATTATGGATGCAGCAAAGCTTACAAAGGTTGTTAATGCTAACATGACGATCGTGTGTTTGAGCTACTACTCAAGCGGATAAGAGATCAAAGATCGGAACTTACGTTCAGCTGCATCATCAGGGAAACAGGGCGTTTAATGTCTGCTACTCGAGAAGCCACCTGTTTGATAAAGATCACAATGACCTGGGTGGCTTTTCTAACAAGGCAGACAGATACACGTCGTCCTTGGACTTGAAGGAAACCACCCACTTGTGTTTCTTGTACCTAAACTGCAGGAACATGTACATGTAGTCATCCAGATCCTTCCTGTTGCAGAAGAACTTGTCCACCCACAACAGGCCTCCCGGTCTCAGCACCCGGTCCCAGTCGAACAACACGAAGTCCAACAACTGGAGGTCGATCCACCCATCAAGAAAGACGCTGGTATGTATCAAATCCAGCGTGTTGTCGAAGAAAGGCAGCCGCTGATTAAGTGTTGCGTACAGGGGGATTAAACCCCTAAGTGCAATCATCTCACCGAATGGCGCGCCCACATTCAAGGAAGCGGACACGATGGTTACGTTCCGCTCCCGCATCCTCGCTGCAAAACTCCCTGTTCCGATACTGATGTCGAGTCCGATCCTGATCTCTCCTGGCTTCACCGCAAGGACATCACCAATGAGGAAGTCTGCGAGCGAGGTGTTGGTGACCCACTTCAGCTTCTCCTTGTGGAGCTCGAAGCATCCAGTGCACTTGGAGAAGCCCCTTCTCGGATTCCTGCTCGATAAACACTTGAAGTCCCGGCAGTTGTAATTACTCCACCTCACGTTGCGGTCATCTGGCATTGTCCACAGGGATTCGTTGATCGGAAGCGGCCTCTGATAGAGTCTCGATGCTCGAGCCAAGCACCGTCTCCGGGGGAGGGGGTCGCAGCCACCCAACATCAGCTTCTGCGCTAGATTCCAGTCGTCCCTGCAATAAGAGCCGATGTCATAATTCATGTACTCCTCCAGCTCGTTTCTCATCAGGACGCAAGCATGGCCGATCGTGTTGTAGGTCTTATTCGTGCCAAATACGCTCGCTTTCCCGTTCCGATTGCCCTTTCCCGTGATGTACTTGCGTGTCTCCTCCACCGTGAAGAAATTTATCAAAGGGTCCTCCATCGGGGACCCAGGAGCTCGAACAGCATCCGGCTGGGGAATGCGAATGAGCCTGAGCGCGACATGGGCACTGTAAAGCGGCTGGATCACCTCCTCTTCCAGGAACATCCTGAACTCAGTCCGAGAGATGGTTTTAGCTGCAGATCGGCCTTTGCTCTCCTTGTCCAGCTTTTGAATGGTGGATTCAAGTTTGTCCTGAAGCTCTGAGAGCCGGATGAGTACCTCCTCCATCCGATCATTAAGGGCCTTGAGGTCGAAGTCAGCGTAGCCATCGTTGATGGTGTGGAATTTCTGACAGGACTCTCCATCAGTGCTGTGGAGAAAGTAGCCCACGGAGTAAAAGCGGTGGAGGCTGGCAATGCTGATTAGGATGACGAAGATGCCTAGGATGATCTGTAGAAGGGCCATAATTCTGGTGAAGTTGCACCTGGGAACGCATACCCTCTCCATCTTCATCCCGACCGGAAGAAACAAACCGAATCTTAACTTCTTCCCTCCTCTGCACTGACTTGGGCTCGCTCCTGGCTCAAAGCCCAAAAATGCAAGGCTCGCGCAAGTTAGGTGTGCATCCACTTAAAAGATCCGAGATTTTCTTGGTGATCGAACTCTAACTTGGAACGAAATGTTTCAGATTTCCTGCGACTCGAAAGAAGAAAGAAAGAACCCACGAATCCAACAAGAGAGAAGCTGCAAATTTAGAGACTTTGTTAGAACAAGAACCTAGATAGTAAGTACAGGAAAAGTTTCCTCAGGGAAAATATATGTCAGTCACCACATTCTGACACCGAAAACTTGAGATATATGAAGAAAGCAAAAGTTGAGATTCTTGCGGCGAAAGAAAAAGCCGGTTTTCTTTCTGCCAACAAAGGAGGAGCTACACTTGAGGAGGATGCAGGCAGCTGAAGAAAAGCAGGGATAGTGAGCGAGAAAATCTACCAGCGCAGCAAAACGAAAAGGAAGCTGATCAAATTAATCAGAAATAAGGAAGCACACGAAGACGAGAAACAAGACCCAGGGTACAAAACGAGCAAATTGAAGCGATCTCTCTCTCTCTCTCTCTGGGGGGATCCAGACCCCTGTTCGTATCAACCCACCTCCATCCCTCTGGCAGCGGGAGCAGAAGTAATATTAATCACATTCCGAGAGGGAAGAGACGGTGGGGAGGGGCGGTTGACTGGATCTGGAGGATTAGTAGAGATACTGGGGTTTGGCAGGACGCATCGGGAGAGGGAAGGGACGGTGGGGAGGGGTTGGGGGTTGACTGCATCTGGAGGGTTACCAGAGGAGCTGGGGTTTGGCTGATCGCATGAACTTTTTGATACCCAAAAATATAGTCAACTTTCGTCTTCTCGAATCAAAAAAACAATAATAACGAAGGGGCGCGAAGGACGGCGGCGGAGGTGGCACGCCCCGCGAAGGGAACGGACGGGTGGATTTCCCGTATCTATGGGTGGGGGTCAGCACAGAACAGAACTTACCCCAGTTTATGTCTTTTCGATCCGGTTTAAATAATCGCTCGATAGCGCCGTCCCCATGTGGCAATCGTATCCAGCAATCGAAAAGAGAGAAAAAAAAACTAGGGGCCCAGATGTTAACTTGCAGGTAAAGCTGCCGTATGTATGAATCGTCACCCCCCCGCTTACCCACGGTTGGGACCCACCCTTCCCTCCCAAGAAGACTTTATACGTTCCTATTACGAAAATAATTCCTCTACTATTTAGCTGATATTCAAACGCAAGACTTATTCGATTGTAAAAATTGCAAAGTCAATAAGCTAATATGCTGCTAAAGGAAAGAAAGGGAGGGGAAAAAGAGAGGTGGGGTTGTTGGTTGTGGAGTTAACGATGTCATATGGCATTCAAATAATTTAAAAAATATTTGATAATGCCATCCTAATTCATTGATAATAATGAATAATGAATAATTTTATTTATATAGGATGGATAAAATAAGATATCACATTTTAAATTTTTATCATCACTATTAATAAAAGTATAATAAAAAATAGATAATCTTAAAACTAAAACATACTAACTTATTAAATAAAATGATAAAAAAAAATTTGTATATAATATTTTTGACACATACACATATTTAAAAAAATATAAATATAACTTGTTCAAAATTTATATATATAAAATGTTTACAGGTCATTGTATATATGTATTGGCATGAGCTTGCACATGCTCATTTCTCTACCCAATCACTTGGGTGGGATATTAATATTTTTATATATATAATAGAGTATATAGTAAGTAATTACTTAGTAAGTATAAATCTTTATAACTTTATTTAGGTAAACATACGTCACATATATATATATATAATCATTAACATAACACATAATAATAATATAAAATATAAAAGGTGTCAATTAGCTTAATTGGATTCAAATCCTAACCACCACTAGAAACGAGAAAGACAAAATAAGTGTTATAAAAAAATATCATTAACATCTTGGCAAGTCAAATATAATTCTAGCTTGTATGTTCGGGGATATCCGAAGTGTAATCGAGGTGCATTTGAAGTGGAAACACTGAGTTCCCAATATGCTACCAATATGAAAACTGAGGTCGAGAAGGGTTTCTCGACCTAATCTCTCTTACGCCGAAGTTAGTAATCCGGGATATATGAGTATGATAATAAGTGTAAAAGGTGATCCTGATAACTATGCTAAAAGTAAGCGTTTATACCTGATAGTAAAGGTGTGAAATGTTCTGCAAGGAGATAATCTTTAAATACCTCTAACAACCTCCATGTATCATTTTGTGCACGTAGGCAATAAGGAGAGAGTAACCCACAATTGCCTACTTTGAACTCACATCCACATAGGTAGACAAAGGGGAGATAAATTCTGACCTCAAAGCTGATTTGACTGCTACATCGATAGTCAAGTGTTGAATGGTCACTGGTCCCAATATTTTTCCTATCGTTTGTCTCCTTTCCCGAAGGCATACTTTGGAAGCTCCTTGGAGAGTCTTGAAGCATAGTATTTAGGCCATATGACATGTTGATTTTATACTCATTTAATTATTTTTCCAAGAGAGAGTTGAGGTGTTTGACCAACATATTTTAAGCACGCCCTAAGGGGGTCAAGACTGACTAAGCCTTAAATTTAGGTGAGACAAACTTAGGGTAGCATAGCTTACTGAATTCCATGAGTGGGAACTGAAGTACTCCCTCAATTGATGGTATGATAGGCCTTAGATGCTTTTGAGATGTCAATACTACATTGAGTCAGGAAGCCTCAATGGGTATCAGTAGAACTGGGGACTATAGTTGGGCTAGTGATATCACTTATTATGCTAGTTGGGGTAAAAGTGGGGCAACGACTTGTATCATCCCCATTAATGTTTGTAACTATTGGGTGATGTTTAAAACACCTTGGTAGAGATAAGTAGATGGCTCGAGATCATCTTTAAGAGTGAAAGATATAAGTCATTGAATAGACGTCAATATATCATCAATATCTAAGGTGGATGTGTTGACGTGTAAAAATGATAGTTACGACCCTTGTTGAGTAAAAATATTGTAGCTTGAGAGCAAAGCTTCTTGTGTGTTTAATGAGACGATTAATGAGTGAGTGTTCTTATGACATTGAGTCCTTCTAGTACCAAAATATCATAGAAAAATATTATTGACATCCTGATCGGCTCGATATGATTTTGGCCCATCCAACCCCCCTTGTTGCCTGCCCGAGGTGTGGAGGTTGGGAACCCCCCCCTTGGTGCTCGCTCGAGTCTTGAAGGTTGGGCACCTCAATCCTTTCGGCTTAAGGCATAAAGTTAGAGCACCCCAACCCCCCCGGGATATACTTAAAGTATGTTAGTCAAGCACCCCAACTCTCTCTCAAAAAAGTAATTAAAGGAATATAAAATTAATATGTCAAATGAGCCAGATATCTCATATCAAAACCCTCTCTAAGCAACTCCCCAAGCATGCCTTCAGGAGGAGTAAGGGTGGATGGACATAGTAGGAAAAGTATTGAGCCCAATGAGTATCTAACGTGTTGCTATTGATGTAATAACTCAATCAATCTCACGATAAAACTTGTACCCTTTTTGTCTACCCATATAGACGTAAGTCCAAAGCAAACAAAATGGAGATCGTTAGAAACAATCAAGACTTCGGTAGAATATTTTATAAAATATTTTTATCTTTTTATGTATAAAAACTTATGTTTATAATATAATTGTTAAGAGATCACTTTTTATTATTTATTACTATACTCATGCTCGTCTATCTTGAAATTAAATTGAATGCGAAAAAGAAAACTCATTTCGATCTAGATCTTCATGTAAGCGAGGCAAAATCACATCAATTGACTAAGACAGGCAACACGCGTCCCTCAAAAGATAACACTTGTGAAGTTTCTATGACTTGTAACATGTTTTTTCATGGGATCAGATCGGGTTGGAATCGTCGGCAAATGATTTATTGATTTGTATTCTTATAGATAAATACATAAATAAATCTGTCCTGGTCGTAGGATTCGCGTACTGGTGGCACGACAAACTGATGAAGCCAAGCGGCTCGGCATAAAGGACCCACTAAGCACTAATTGCATCAGCCGATTTTGCCGCCGGAAGGCGAAAGTCAAGGCAATGGGCGGGAAAGAAGCATCAGCCAGCACCGGTCACAATTGCTGTTGTTCGGTCCGGCATATAAAACGTGTCCCAACCAATCAGCGCATTTTATAACCGGAGATTTGCCCGTTCTTTCTTCTCTTCGCCGCTGCTCATCAACAACACGCCAGACATCTCGACAGGCTCAGCCAACCTTCCACGACTCCACTTGCGCCTTCGCCTTCCTTCCACACAACGGCAGCAGTGTTTCCAGCATCTCATCATCCAGGCGCCAGAAATTAATCAACCATTCCGTAATCGACAGCGACTACTCGTTGTGCGCCTTCGCCTCCCTTCCACAACGGCAGCAGTGTTTCCAGCATCTCATCATCCAGGCGCCAGAAATTAATCAACCATTCCGTAATCGACAGCGACTACTCGTCGTGCGCCTTGCTTTCCTGTGCCCCACCGTCACCACCCCGGAGGCCTGCCGTTGTCCAAGGTGTGGACGTCACTGCTACAAGCAACTGTCGCTGCTGGCCGACGAGGTGAATGCGACCGAGCTGCGGACGGGGGGCGGAGAGGCAGGCGCCGGCGGCTCAGCCCGCTTTCTGACCTCTTCGCCTCCCCCGAAGGATCCATGCTTTCGAGCCTCAGCGGAGTTGTTGGAGTCGTCGTGGCCATGGATGCCACGGAGGAGTGCGGCGACGGCTTTCATGGTGGGGCGGTCATCGGGGCGGGAGCTGGCGCAGAGGAGGGCGATGCCCAGGGCCTGGAGCATCTCCTGGAGCAACGGGTCGGTGTGCCCCTGAAGCCGGGGGTCCACAACTTCCGCAGGGTCCCGCTTCCACCTTAGGTGGTCCTGCACCCACTGTACCACGCTCTGCCCCTCCCCGAACGCCGGGTCTGCCGGCCGCCTCCCGGTTATCATCTCCAGCAACACCACCCCGAAGCTGTACACGTCGCTCTTCGTCGTGATCCTCGTCATGCACCCATACTCTGTGCAACGAAAATTCACCCATCGCCACAGTTAGGATGAATACCAACGTTCCGATGCTAAAACAAGAACCACTAAGCAAACAGAACAAATGAAACTACTTACGGTAGGTGAGGCACCATCTCACCCCACCCCAGAAGACTGTTAAAGCTCCAAAATGCGTAACCAACTAAAATAAAAAGAAACAAAACGAAGTGAGAAGAGCTTAGGCTCACCGGGGGCAATGTAACCGTACGAACCAGCGAGGGAGGCCGGGACGGAATCGGCCCCTCCCGATCTCCTGTCTCCCGTCACTCGGGCGAGGCCGAAATCTGCAAGGCACGCTTCGTACCGCTCCCCTAGGAGGACGTTCTCTGTCTTCACATCGCCATGGATGATAGCCGGCACACAGTCGTCGTGGAGGTAGGCCAGCCCTTCCGCTATGCCGACGGCGATCCCCAGCCGCACATCCCACTCCACCGCCGCCGCCGCCATACCTCCGCCGTGTAGCAGCCCTCCCAGCGTGCCGTTGGGGAGGTAGTCATAGAAAAGCAGCCTAGTCCGACGATTGGCTGCCCAGCCCAGCAGCCGTACGATGTTCCGGTGTCTCACCCTCGCCAGAGCCCCGATTTCACACGCAAATGCCGTGGCCGCAGCGTCGTCGCCGGTGCGGAACTTCTTCACGGCGATCACCGCCCCCGTGGACGGGATCCTCGCACGGTACACCACACCGGACCATCCCCGGCCGATGACATTCGCCGCCGTCAGGCTCCGGCCCACGTCGCCGACGCCGAT